CTCTCAACCTTTCCCTCTGTTAAAAATCAATAAAATATATATTTTTTAAAAATGTCGAATTTTGTGCCCAAAAAAGAGCATTTGTAGGAAATTTTAATTCATTATTTGAAGAAAATTGCTGTTGAAAGTTATTGTATACTTCCAGAAGCTTATGGTGAACATGCTCCATCTCAAGATACTTGTGAACATTGTTTTAAATGCTTTAAAAATGATTTTGATGTGAAAGACAACATTCAAGTCAACTGAAAAAGTTTGAAGACCAACAATTAAAAGCATTATTGGATGAAGGTGCATGTCAAACTCAAAAACAACTTGCAGAAAGATTAAACATTGCTCAGCAAACAATTTCTAATAGTTTACAAACAATATGAAAGATTTTAAAGGAAGGAAAATAGGTGCTAAATCACTGAACAAAAGACAAAATGGAAAACCGAAAAGTCATTAGTAAAATGTTGCTTCACTGCACCAAAGAAAGTCTTTTTTGCCTCGAATTATGACTGGCTATGAAAAGTGGATTTATTTTGAGAATTCCAAATGCACAAAATCCTGGGTTGTCCCAGGTCAACCATCAACATCGACTGCAAGCCAAATCACTTTGGAAAGAAGACAATGCTCTGCGTTTGGTACAATCAGGAAGGTGTGGTGTATCATAAACTTGTAAAACCAGGTGAAACCAAAAGTACTCATTGCTACCGACAACAAATAATCGTGAAACGACCAGAATGGGCCAGAAGAACGTCAAAGTAATTTTTCTTCATAATAATGCACCATCACACTCTTCTAAAACAGGTCAAGACACGTTTAAAGATCTTGCCTGGAAAGTATTAACCCACCTGCTATATTCACTAGACCTTGCTCCTTCAGATTACCACTTGATCTGATCGATGGCACACACACACTCTTAGTAGCACTTCAAAACAAGATAAGTTGTATTGGGACGGTATCCACAAATTACATGAAAGATGGAGTAAATGTGTAGCTAGATGATAGACATTACTTTGAATAAAGCATTTTTGATGTTTCTCTTAAAATTATTGTGTGTGTTTGTTTTGTTTTTTTTATTACAAATTGCACGTTATTAACCGGTACACCTAGTAACCTTTTATCAGTTTCAGAAATGTTTTCATTTGCTTTTGTCCACTAATTCATTATAAATGTTTAAAATCCTATATAATATAACCTTAATATACAAATTGACCGAATGGCTGAACAACTGGTTGCTATGATGCACACTGACCACCAGGGGGTAGACGCTCAATGCAGGAGCTGCTCTCAGCCTGCCAGCCCTGACCAGCTGTGGCAATGGGGAGCGGGTCCAGCATGTGGGCAAGGCCTGGCCAGCCAAGGCAGGTGCTAGTGGGAGCCCCCCTGCAGGTCACCACGCAGATTGTCCCTGATCGCCAGCCAGATTTAGGCATCTTATCCGTACAGGAATTTTGTGCACCATACCTGTGGTTAAATAATAAGCTGTGTAACAGTAATTTCATTTTATGAACACGGTTGGAGATTATTAATTGGTCAAAGCATACTTCTGGGATCCTTTTGTGACATATTTTTATTTTCTCTTTGTCTACATTTGAACCAGGAAAGAAATCTTAAGTATTCCAGGTGCCAGTCATTTCCTATTCATCATGCAAAGTGTTTGATGGATTTGCTTATAGAGGAGAATGATGCACTCTTAAAGGGAAAACAAGTGCATTTTAGTTTCCTAGGAGTAAGCAAAGTTGTAATAAACTGCTGAAAGAATTTATTAATTTTCTTGGCTGAGAGTGATTAGTTTTGTTGTAAGGAGTGAGCATAGTGCAGCTGATTAGTCAAATGTTACTAATTGCTTTATTTAAACTTCTTTTTGAAAGTACAAATGGTAAAGTTTGATATACAAATAAAAGCTTTATATATATATTACATATGACACATCATTCTAAAATGTCTGTCCACATTCTGGCCACTGTGGCTCAGTTGGTTGGGTACTGAAAGGTTACTGCTTTGATTCTCAGTCAGGGCACATGCCTGAGTTGTGGGCTTGATCCCCAGCAGGGGGTATGCAAGAGGCAGCCAATTGATGTTTCTTTCTCTCCCTCTTCCTCTCTATTAAAATCAATAAAAAATCTTAATAAAAGTCTGTCCACAATCACAATTCAGAATTGTGACATTTCAATAAACTTGACTTTATCTTTTTAATGTATCAGTTTTATTTTCTCACTATATTTATGTAATAGCTTGTTAAAGATAATAATTGAGTCTTGGCTGGGTTGCTCAGTTGATTACAGTGTTGATATATATATATATATATATATATTGGCAAATAGATTAAAAATAAAAGTATGACTTGTATTTTCATATTGAAATTTATGAGTGTGTTTGGTTCGTAATTAATATTTATAAAGTCTGAATTGATAACTTTATTATTTTTTATTTATTTTTAAAATTTAATAAGTCTTTATTGTTCAAATTATTACAATAGTTTCTCCTTTCCCCCCACCTCCATACCTCTTTTCACCCAGTTCCCACTCCATCCTCAGTCCTTACCTCCCCCCAACTGTCCTCATCCATAGGTGTACAATTTTTGTCCAGTCTCTTCCCGTACTCTCCACACCTTTTCCCCCTGATAATTATCAGTCCACTCCCTTTCTATGCCCCTCAGTCTATTATATTCACCAGTTTATTCTGTTCCTCAGATTTTTAATTCACTTGATTTTTAGATTCACTTGATAGATATGTATTTGTTGTTCATAATTTTTATCTTTACTTTTTTCTTCTTCTTCCTCTTCTTAAAGAATACCTTTCAGCATTTCATATAATACCGGTTTGGTGGTGATAAACTCCTTTAGCTTTTTCTTATTTGTGAAGATCTTTATCTGACCTTCAATTCTGAATAATCGCTTTGCTGGATAGAGTAATCTTGGTTGTGGGTTCTTGCTATTCATCACTTTGAATATTTCTTGCCACTCCTTTCTGGCCTGCATAGTTTCTGTTGAGAAATCAACTGTCAATTGTTTGGGTGCTCCCTTGTAGGTAATTAACTGCTTTTAATATTCTCTCTTTGTCTTTTGCTCTTGGCATTTTAATTACGATGTGTCTTGGTGTGGTCCTCTTTGGATTTCTTTTGTTTGGGGTTCTGTGTCCTTCCTGGACTTGTAAGTCTATTTCTTTCACTAGGTGGGGGAAGTTTTCAGTCAATATTTCTTCAGATAGGTTTGTTTTCAGTATCTTGCTCTCTCATTTGCACCCCCATAATTCTGATGTTGGTACATTTGAAGTTGTCCCAGAGGCTTCTTACACTATCTTCGACTGTTTGGATTCTTTTATCTTTTTGCTTTTCCAGTTGAGTGTTTTTTTGCTTCTTTGTATTTCAAATCTTTGACGTGATTCTTGCTTTCCTCTAGTCTGCTGTTAGATCTCTGTATAATATTTTTTTTATTTCAGTCAGTGTATGTTTAATTTCTAGTTGGTCCTTTTTCATATCCTCTAGGATCTTGGTAAACTTATCGGCCTTTTCTAGGAAATTCTTGAAAAACCTTATAACTGTGGTTTTCAACTCTATCTCTCATTTGTTTTTCTCCATTTCTTCAGTTTCTGATCTGTTTCCTTGTCTCCTCATTTTCGCTGCTTCTCTGAGTTGATGGAGTGGCTTTGTGTGCTAGGTGCCAATATGGTTCAATGGGTCAGCCTCCCAGTTACCTGAGGTGAACACTCTTGGTGAAGCCCTTCGTGGACTGTGTGTACATCCTTGTTGTAGTTAAGTATTGATTGTTGTTGGTGTCACTGGGAAGAATTGACCTTGGGCTAATTGGCTGTTAGGACCTGCTATGTCTATAGTGGAAGAATTGCTGTGCTAGAGGCATGCTTATGGGGCAGAACTTGTTTCAGTGGGGCTTTTGTGCTCACTGAGTCTGCATTTTGAATGTGTCCCTTATGAGAGTAGTTGAAATATGGTGTTTTCTCACACAGACCACTAGCTTCTGGATCTCCAATGGGGTGTAGGTAAGCTGTTGTCTGAGGCCACCCAGCAGGTGCTATAGCAAGAATAGTTTTCTCCTCTTTGCTTGGGGTTTGGAGGTTTTGGAGCTGTCTGACTGGAGCTGCAGTTAGTTTGGTTAAGCTGCAATAGGGCAGGCCATTTATATGCAGAAGCCTCTTCGTGGAGCTTGGGTGAGTTTGTAGATTGTGTGAGGCGGAATCTCAGGGAGTCACTAGGGTAGAGCGTGGCAAATAGTAATGGCTGCCAGTCAGACCTCTCTGAGTTTCCGCATTTCCAAGTCCCTGTGTCTTGTGCTCTAGTGCAGTAAACAATGATTGGTGGGTGCACATCTGCAAGAAAGTCACCCTACTTTCCTATCCTATGACCAACAGTCCAGCTTCTCCCCGTAGGAATTTGGGTCCCTCACGTCTCCCCAGAAACTGGATTTCAGTGTAATTGGGAGCTTGTCTCCTTTAGGGTTCAAAAAAAGCAGCACATTCAATTGCCCGCCACCAGCCCTATTAATCCGCCTCTGTACCTCAGCTTTTCAGCACTTGTGCATGTCTCAGTGCTCTTTTCTCTTTCCTTCTAGATGTAGAACTTCCACTCAGCCAGCTTTCCTGTGTTTTGGGTGATAGACATTTTATCTTTTAGTTGTAGTTTTGAAATCGTTGTGCAAGGCAACAGTTTAGGTGTTTACCTATGCCGCCATCTTGGTTTCTTGATAATTTTAAAAGACGATATTGAATCACTACGTTATTTCCAATTTTATTTTTAAAAAAGTCACAAATTTGCATGACTGTGTTTTAGTAGAAAGAATCCTGGACAAGGTTGTAAGTGAAAAGAGCTGGAGTAATTTTCATGTGTTGTTTAGAGGCTTGCACATATGTGTTTTCTCTTTTGTAAAACAAGTAGATATATCTGATGGGTATAATGTCTTTTTATAACATGAACTTTTTAAAAACTTTTTAAGTGTAGTAATAGCCAAGTAAGTTGTTACAATTGTGGAAAATAATTTGATTTTTTTAATTTTTTACAGTTTGAATTATTTTACAGCCAGCATTTCAGTGGAAGGAAACTTACATGGTTACATTACCTCTGCACAGGTAAAACAAATTTAATTATATGTAATTTAATGAAATTTATCTGCTCTGATTATGGTAATAATTTAGAAAGAGATTTTCTGTAGCTAAATTGTAAATTGCTATTTTTCCTCCTACTGGTGGTTTTAAACCTTTTCTTCTCTACCTTCCTTTCTAGTTATCATTAGAGCAACTAATAATGAAATTCAAGTGCAGCACTTTTTTAAACATTTATTTCAGAGAGGAAGAGAGATGGAGAGATAGAAACATTGATGATGAAAGAGAATCATTGATAGTCTGACTTCTGCACATCCCATATTGGGGATTGAGCCCATAACCTGGGCATGTGCTCTGGCTGCGAATGGAACTTCGACCTCCTGATTCATAGGACAATGCTTAATACTGAGCCACAGCAGCTGGGCTGGTGTAGCACTTTAGAATAGTATTTTATAGTTATGGGGCCCGTCAGTGGAGGGTATCTGTGTGGCCCTGGGCATGAAGCCAGATTTGGTGCCAGCAATCTCCTGGAGGGGGCACTTTAAGGCTAGTGCTGGAGTGGAGAAAGGAAGAGAGCAAAAATGCTCTGGAGGGGGTATGAGATGGTGTGGGCAGTGGGATCTCTAGGTAGGGCGGTGAGCTCTCAGGCTGCTGAGACAGAGGAGCCAAAGACTAGGGAGCCGGGGGATGATTAGTGGGATCAAAAGTGGTGAAGGAGGAGGGGGATTTGAGATTCTCTGGGGGCTTAGAGTAAAGAAGGAAAAATCTGGTGAGGGAGAGCATCTGTTACAGAGAGAAGGATGTGTCCTTGAATGTAAAAGAAAAAAAAAAAACCTAGATATATAGGATCTCAGATCACTTATCCTGCCTACGGCAGTATTAGTCAAGATAGTTAGTATTTGGAGATTGAAAGTGCCATTTTACTGAGACCAGACGTTCTGCATGAATTCTAGGGTCTGAAGGCTTTTAAGTCGACAGCCCAGGGATGTGGTGTGGGCAACGATCGACTGCGAATTCCCCATGGTGACTGGCAATGGCTTAACGCGTTTTTTGTCTTCCGGACGGAAAGTATAATGTCAGTCATTGGTGACTGACTAGATGCTTAACGTGTTAAGGTCTGCTTTCCGTGAAGTTAAGGCCAAGAAAGACGTCCCTGTCTCCCCTTAACGTTCACAAGAAATGGACAGAGCCCTCCCTCTGTGACAGGCGTCCCTATCAGGGGAATGGGCAAGGGAACCTGGTTCCCCCAGAGGACTTGTCTGGAGCAGCGCTGGATTTCCATGGGGCCGGCTGAATAGTATCAGCCCAAAGCCTGGCTCTAAACACAAAATGACAGGACAGCCTGGAAGGAGGAAAACAGACTAAAGCCACTTACTTAAGAATCTATTCCTGGCGTCGATGCAGGAGGAGACAAGGCAAGGAGTGGTCCCCTATCCAATCACGGGCGAGCACAACCAGACCAGTCCCGAGGAAGGCTAGGGGGGCCCAAGTAAGTGTTGTGAGTTCTGCAGAAGTTCAACTGTGCAGGAGCCTGGCTGGGGGCTTCTCCGGACACAAGGGAGCTCAGGAGCCGGACGATCATGGTTTCTCTGAGTGCCAAGTGTGGTTGCTGGAACCTTTCAATGGCTCTAACCAGACCCCTCAACTAGACCTTTCCGGCTTTTGGCACCAAATGAAATGTTCAAAGTGGGCTGGGGTAGAGCACCTATGACATGTGCCATAATGTATCAAAAAATATTTTATTCCAGGTACCTGGGTGCAGGTGGGCTGAGATCGAGAAAGACATCAGCAAAGAGAGCATTTTTAAGACTGACATTCTGGATTTGTCACATTGTTTAATTGTGATGTATTTTATTTGTTTTCTGATTCCCTATATTTTCTGTTAAGTGGAAATTAGGTCTAAAAGTTTCATTATAGCCGAAACTGGTTTGGCTCAGTGGTAGAGCTTTGGTCTGCGGACTGAAAGGTCCCAGGTTCGATTCCGGTCAAGGGCATGTACCTTGGTTGCGGGCACATCCCCAGTAGGGGTGTGCAAGAGGCAGCTGGTCGATGTTTCTCTCTCATCGATGTTTCTCTCTCTCTATCTCTCTCCCTTCCTCCTCCCTGTAAAATATCAATAAAATATATTTTTAAAAAAGTCTAAACAAATAAATAAATAAATAAGTAAATAAAAGTTTCATTATATTTAGATTAAATATTATTGGCAAGAATACTAAGGATTCTCTGATCTTAATAGTACAATAGAGAACATGTAATATCAGCTTGTTTCACTATTAGCGACACTAAAGTTGCTCACTTAATTAAGGTGGTAACCAACAGATAGCTCCATTGTAAAGATATATTCCCCTTTTCATTTAGCAGGTAATTTGAAGGGCAATATTTAGGTCCCAGTCTTTTCATCCATAAGCTGACTAGTAAGAGCATGATGTGGAAAAACGGGAAGAGGTCCATGTATCCCTGATCTTGATAATTTATTTTAAAAAATATATAGCAAGAAAAAGGTGTGATACAAAGTTTACTAGTTGAGCCCTTTTTAAGTTGCAGACTATACTTGATAATAAGTTGTAGACTATATTTGATAGTAAGTGACATTTTCACCCCTTATTTGCACTGTCTCCTCATGCTGTTTTGATTATAGTGGTAATAAAAGACTGTTTATGTCACAAAAGACTCGTTCTGTTTCCAAACCCACGGGAGCATATTACAACATCAAGGACATGCTCTCTGATGGTCTCATTTAGTCATCGAGGTGCTTGATACATCCTATATAATAAAAGACTAATTTGCAAATTGTCCCCTTTACCAGGAGTTCTACTGGAAGTTCATCCAGGGGGCGGGGGCGGCCCAGCCCAATTGGCCCCTGTGGGGTGGGCCAGCTGAACCCCCACTCATGCACAAAACTATGCCCTGGCCTTTAGTTACGTCATATTTTTTTTCTATACTAGTACGGCTAACAGTTGTCACACAACTGTTATGTGATGTTCTGCTCCTTGCCACATTTTCCAAACTTACATGTTGAGATGAAAGCCCTTAATGTACTCTTTATACTAATTGTTAGTAGTGCACACTAGTGATAATTTCTTACTTAAACCCTTTGTGTGAATAGAATATTCTGATTAATATATTAAACTTTCTTTTATGAAAATTCAGAGATTAGGGATTTTTCCCCCCTCCCAAATAATTTTGAAGAATATTTCTGAATATCAGGTTTTATAAAAAATAAGTCAAGGTATAATGAAACTTAAAATAGACATGTATGTGCTGATAATAAATTGGCAAATTTATATTCTTTAAAATATTTAATTAAATAGTGAATAAAGTACAAAATCTTGGTCAGAGTTACTAATATGGGGAATGCAATCTCTGGGGTTCCGTTTACTAGTATGTTAAAATGTAGGGTTCTGAAACCAATTTTCATTCTGGGTTAGTTTATAATCCATTGACAGTCAAATAATGCAAGGTGTGTGTGTGTGTGTGTGTGTGTGTGTGTGTGTGTGTGTGTGTGTGTGTGTGGAGAGAGAGAGAGAGAGAGAGAGAGAGAGAGAGAGAGAGAGAACGAACTAGTACAATCACTGTACCACATTTGTAGGAAGCAGTTCTTTGATTTACCTTAACTGTTTTTTACTGTTACTGAGGTTTACAAAATGCATACATGTTGGTCATACAGTTTGTTGCAAGCTTTTCAGTGTTCTATTCCTGGAATATTAAAAAAACTGCAGTATGCCTAAACCTGCTGTATATTTAATAGCTCTTGGGGGTAAGGTAGAGCACACTGTTATTCTATCAGTTGTTTAAATTAAGATCTGTCTTGTGTCTCCTCCCATTCTTGTTTTCCCCTAGAAAATTGCTGGGAAGAAAAATGTAATTTTAACAATTTTGGCAGAAGTTATAGTTCAATCATAGCTGTAGGATAAGCATTTCCTTTGTGCTCATTGACCTCCCCGTAGGCTTGACCCTTCCCTGGGTTAGAGCCGATGGAGACAGCATATGAAGCCATTGCTAATAGCAATCCAACATTCTCTACTCTTTGTCTGTGTTGTTTTTGTTTTGTTTTGTTTTTTGGTGTGTGTGTGTGTGTGTGTGTGTGTGTGTGTGTGTGTGTGTGTTTTCCTAACCTCACCTTCTCTGTTTTTTTCCTAAGTTTTAGTTACCCTTCCATTAACTAAAGACATTGTTTAAATTCTGCTGGTAAAGTTATGATAGCTTAACCATGATTTATACTCAAAACTAAGAGCCCTACCCCCAATCCATCAAACAAACAAAATAATTGTATTGCTAGCAGGAATGGCTTTACAACAATTAATAAGTCCCTATTTTAGGAGAATAATATCTAAAATAAACAGTTATTATTTAAGTGATTTCAAAATGTTTTTTTGAATGACCAGTTTATTGTCACAATTTTATTTTAATTGTAGGTGAAGTTAAAATGAACTATTTGGGCAAACCATATGTAGCCATGGTTACAACATACCAAATGGCAGTTCTTCTAGCCTTCAACAACAGTGAAACTGTCAGCTATAAAGAGCTTCAAGACAGCACACAGATGAATGAAAAGGAACTGACAAAAACAATCAAATCATTACTTGATGTGAAAATGATTAACCATGATTCAGAAAAGGTATGGAATTTAAAGATCTAGGAATTTAAAGTTATAAACATTAAAGCATTTTCATGGGATGTTCACAGTATTGAAAGGAGGTTATAATTGTTAATGCCCTTGGTACTTTGGAAAGCACTTGAATCAGCTACATTACTGCTGGTTTCTTACAACTGTGAACTTGAGGAATCACAGAGAAGGCTATGTAAATTGGTGCCTATATACCTTTTACAATTTGATTTAATTTTTCCTATATTTTGACAGGGTACTGAAAAATTGGGAAAAAATGCCATTGAGAATTTTTGATTGAGGTTGAAAACTGTAGCTTATCTTAAAATTTTCCAAGATACTTTCTTCCATGTATTTGGTTAATGTTTAATTGCATGGTTCTGTAGTAGGAAATGACAGCTTTTTGATGTCATTTGTATGATATTTAACTTATGTAACTTCAACCCAAACACACTCATTTTCATATCCTTTAATTTTAGAACTCAATCAGATTTTTAAAATATCTATCATGAGACTAGCAAGCCAAGAGTATATTCCTTTTTCTTTATAGCTTTTATTTATAGTAGTAAGTTTTTGTTATTGTAATATATCTTGTATAATTAAATAGTTGTTTTTTTTGTGGGGGGGGTTAGTTTTTGTTTGTTTTTTAAAAAATATATATTTTATTGATTTTTTTTACAAAGAGTTGGAGAGAGGGATAGAGAACTAGAAACATCGATGAGAGAGAAACATCGACCAGCTGCCTCTTGCACACCCCCTACCGTGGATGTGCCCGCAACCAATGAATAGTTTTTAAAAAGCAACAGATATGAGTTAAATCTCCTACTTTAAATTATTGTACCTATAAGAAAAAAATTCTTGTAGATGGTATTTCATTTTTATTTTGGTAAAGTTAATAGCCTGTAACTTATATCTCTCATCAATTCATTTTGCTGACATCTCTAAAATTATGATAACATTTTATAGCCCATAGTTGAACAGCTCTAAATTACATATATTCTGAAATTCAAATCTTTTTAAAGGCTTTTCTTAATTTTGAGAAGTGATTAATTTTTTTTACTTCAGAATCTTTACATGTTAAAATTCTTACTATTAAGATTTTAAATACAGAAATTATGACTTAATGCAATTAATTTATTTTTAAGGTAAAAAATGTTAAGCTTAATTGCTGAATTAGAAGTTATATATATTTTTGAAATGTGTTGTTTTCACTGCCCAAAAATATAAAAAATAAATATAGATTGTTTGCACATTAAATTTTAAATATGAATCTGTTGGTTTCTAAGAATTTCTTAGTTTATTATTGAAACTGAGTCTACCTACCTTACTACGTGCTTCTTTTTTGTTGTTGTTTTATCTACATCCGAGTAATATCTTCTTCATTGATTTTCAGAGAAAGTGGAAGGGAGGGAAAGCAGTAGGGGAGAAAGAAAGAGACATGCACATCCTTTGACAGGAATAAAACCCTCCACCCTTCGGTGTGAGGGTCAAAGCTTTAACTACTGACCCACACTGGCCAAGGCCTACTTAAGTGCTTCTTGATCCTGCTGGTAGAGAAATTTCAGTATATGATATAAGTGGCTTTCTTAAGCCTGATAGAGAAGTTGTGATTCTAAAAGTTGCCTTAAAAACTTTCACTTGAGAAAAGGCCACTTGCTTCTGGCAGAGTGAATAAAACATGAATTGAAGAGCAGACTCCTGGCAGAATCACACCAGGGTCATGGAGAAATGATACTTGTGTGCCACTGGAAACAGCTTGCTTTTATAGTCAGGTAACTTATAATTGGTATTGTTATTGCAGCACTTAATAAAACATTTGGTTCAGTTTTTCAAAATGGGGTGATGGGGAAATTATGAGTCATCATTTCATAAAATTTGAAATGTCAAATTCTGTGTAAGCCAATAAGCTTGATTCTTTTGTCTTATACAAAGATGATAATGTAATAGTCAGGCAAGAAATTTGCTTATTTATTTAATCTAAATTGATTAAAATTCTATCAAGTGTAAATGAGAATTGTTTTTTGCTTCTTTGTTTGACAGAAGACAATTATTTTTCTCATAATTTTTATAATGTAAAAGATTATGAGAATTTAGGATGTCTTTTCTTGGTTATTACATAGCATATTTTTTGCAACAACTCTTATGTAATCGTTTTATGTTTTATAAATATAAGTGAATTATTTGTAATTGTAGGAAGATATTGATGCAGAATCTTCATTTTCATTAAATATGAACTTCAGCAGTAAAAGAACAAAATTTAAAATTACTACATCAATGCAGAAAGACACACCACAGGTAAGTGCTTTTCTATGTCATTTCTTTTGGAAATATTTAAGCATCGTACTTTGCAAGTAGAGAAATATTGAGAGATGATGCAAAACTCTGCACATCAAAATTAATAATACGCTATATTTTTTCTGGCATATTCTTTGCACTTACTAACCTTACAAACAAAATCTCTGCCAGTAGTTTAGATTTTAAAAACAGTAGTATAATGGGTACCTAAGGAAAAGGGTGCTGCATTGCTCTTAAAATAAATGTATTGCTTTGCTTTGCATCTTTTTAATAATTCCTATCTTGAATAGTAATATAATATCTTACATTTTTTCATTAGTAAAATAAAGGAAAGTTTTTCTTTCAAAGGAAAATTGTTAAAAATCCTTCTCAAACTTTCATGTATAAATGAACCATCTGGGAATCTTGTCAGAACTCAAATTGTGATCTATAAGGTGTGGAATGGAGTGCAGACTACCAGATAAGCCAGTTTGCATGTGTGCTGTTGATTCTTTAACTCAGCAGTGATTATTGCTTATTTCTGGATGGCCTATTCACATCACTTATGCTTCCTTATGGCTAACTTGGGCTTGGGGCAGGATGTGAAGGTATATATGATGTAAGGCACTCTTCAGGAACTTCCCCATGGGGAAACAAATGTTAATGAATTGCTATTAAATTTGAATCCTAAAATGTTCAATATTCTATTTCTTTCAGACTAATGAATAATTTGTAAGATATGGGTTATATTTTTTTCTGTTAAAAGCTGTTATGAGATCCCTATTAATGTGGAATTGCCTACTTCTGTGCCTTGCTTCTACTGTTACCTTGAGCTGTATGATTTATGCCTTTTTTGGCCCATTCTTTCTGGCTTCTCTGCTTGAACCAAATAGAACCCTCCACAGTTCTTCCCCTGGAAGCCTAGTCTAGTATGCACCTGGAGCCAATTACTGAAGCATCTAAAAGCTTTATTATTATCTGCACTCACTGATAGGACAGCAGTCTTGAAAATTACTGTTCAGTGTCATTTAAATTCTTTATTGCCTGTTTACATTAAATACAGTCTGTAATAGTGTTAATTTTTTTATTTATTTTTTTTAGTGTTAATTTTTTAAATAACCTTCCAACTTAAATCCAACAAATTGTGTATAGCTCATTGTACATATTTTTTTGGTAAAGATTATTTGATTTTGGGCTTATAACAACTGTATAATTTTGTTGGGTTTTTTTTTTTTGCCTTTTTATTGAATTTATTGGGGTGACACTGGTTAATAAAATTATACAGGTTCTGGTGTACAGTTCTACAACAATCCTCTGTTCACTGTACCATATGTTCACCACCCCAAGTCAATCTCCTCCATCATTATTTATTCTCCTATACTGAATGCTCAGTATAAATGCTCACTGATAAAATGAATTCAGAACAGTTATGATTTAATGTCTCATTTGCTTTTTCCCACCTGTAAAACAGGAAATGGAACAAACTAGAAGTGCTGTAGATGAGGACCGGAAAATGTATCTCCAAGCTGCTATAGTTCGTATCATGAAAGCACGAAAAGTACTTCGGCATAATGCCCTTATTCAAGAGGTAAAAAAGGGAAAAGTCTTCAAAACTTCTTGGGGTAGAGAGTATTACCAATGTACAGATGAGCAATGTTTCTCCATTGATTTGCAAACAGCATAAAGATATGCTTCATTACATATGGGAACAGTACCCATTTACAATTTCAGAATTAAGTTCAGATTTGCTTTGGCTTGAGTTCAGATATATAAACTTTACCAGTTTATTGAGTCTTTTCTCCAGTTATTAGAGGAAGTTGATCACATCAAAGACTCATTCCATAAATAATATTGAGTGTCTATGGTGTGATAGCACTGTGCTTGCTGTTGGGGGTTTAATGCAGAGCAAAGCAAAATGTGGTTCCTGCCCTTTTGTAGTTGAGAGTCTAATAAGGAAGAAACATATTACTGAAATAATCTCTATATATAAAAGCGACCATCTGACCATTCAACAGGTAGCTATGATATGCACTGACCACCAGGGGGCAGATGCTCAATACACAGACTGATGAATCTCAGAAGGAAAGGGTGGGAAGAGATTAACCAAAGATCTTATATGCATAATAAAGGCCCAATGCATGGATTTGTGCACTAGTGGTGTCTCTCGGCCTGGCCTGAGGGGATCAGGCAAAAACTGGCAGTTCAACATCCCTTGAGAGGTCCTGGATTGTGAGAAGGCACAGGCCAGGCTGAGGGAACCCCTCTGGTGTACAAACCCATGCACTGGGTCTCTAGTATGCACTATAAAATTACAGAAATATGCACTGAAAAAAGTTATACAATACTGTGAGAATGTACATAAAAATCTTGACTTAGAGATATTGGGGAAAGCTTTCTTGAAAAAGTGTTATTTCAACTAAGAGCTAAAAGTTGAGTAAGGGATACTTGAGAGTATGGATATTTAGTAGATTAATTAGTTTTTAGTTTTATTTATGTGTGAATATTACATATATATATATATATATATGTTTTGCATTTTAATTCCTTCACAACATAAACATTAGACTTTTTCCTTTGTACAAATTATTACTTTTGGTCATTATGTCAAAATTGATCTAATTCTCTCTCCTTATGCACTGCTCTCTGAGTTTAAAATTTTTAATATTGTTATGGCATTCTCTTACTTGATATATCACGTGTATCCATTTAATATGATTTTATTCTGTTTAATATAATTTCATAATTATTTTAAGTATATTTTTCTATATGGCTTAGATATCTTTGATGGAACCTCAATAAAATTGAGAAAATTTTATAGCTGATTGGTTAAAAGTAATTATTTATAACTGATTAATTGGCAGCAGTTTGACACCCATGTCTCTCTTACAGGTGATTAGCCAGTCAAGAGCTAGGTTTAACCCTAGTATCAGCATGATTAAGAAGTGTATTGAAGTGCTGATAGACAAACAGTACATTGAACGCAGCCAGGCTTCAGCAGATGAATACAGTTACGTAGCATGATGTTGCTCTCCTCCTGTGTGGGTGTGAGAAGATCATTGCCATCACCATTTGGTGTGTTCCTGTGGGGAAAAGAGCAGGCCTATGCCTCCATAATTTGGTCATTTGGCAGCCCCTGTTTTTCTGCTGTTTACAACATCACCAGTGCCACGTCATGAGCGTCAGAGAAAATGCCTAGAGATATTTCAAGCTCATGTCATTATGACATTTCTTAAAACTTTATTAAAGAATGAGTGAAGTATTGCTGAAATGTGGAAATTTGGTTGGGTACCATGCTTTTTCTCCCTTTCACGTTTGCAGTTGATGTGTGTTTTTTTTTTAATGTATCTTAAAGGACATAAAATAAAAATCTTAAATATCGTAATATGACAGATAACCTAATAATTGTATCTACATTAAAATGACAAACATAATATTGCTGCTTGTCAAATAAAAAAATAAAGAAGTAGAATGCCTTTTTTATGTGGATGGAGTATCACACTAAATCATATATGAATGTTCCTGAGTCATCAAAGCAGCGAATGCAGCTTTAGTTGCATTTTTATCTGAATGGTTTAATTCACTTACTGTACTCCTACTTAAATCTTACTGAAATATGTCGATTTTTCTAGAGTACGTAAAAATGCATTTATCATAAAGAATATTTTCTTTTTAAGGATTAGAACTACATTGGATTTGAGCATTTTGAGTATTAAGGATTTAATTCCATCAACAGTTTCTGGTGATGTGCCACACCACAGAAATGGAGGATGAGGGGGATATGTGATGACCTCAAGTCTGGCATAAAAAGAGTCTTTCATTTAAAAGTCGTCTTCTGTTTTCATAATATATTAATTCTAACATAGAATAATGCTACCACTTTATCACTTTCCTCTCTCTACCTTTCTCTGAGTTGCAAGAGATCCTGTCATACCAAAAGATCCTTATACCCCTCTAACATTTCCATGCTAGATTCATAAAACACAGCTATGCTTAGCAATGCATAGCCTAAACACTTTTTAAAAAGTCTGTATATTGGTACGTGTTGCCAGACTCTGTTGGTTAAGAAGGCCTCCTGGCCCAAGGCCCTCCTCTTGAGTTACCAGCTCATCGTCGTCAACCAAGAGACTACGTTCATTCTAATCAAGACTTGGAAGGGAAAAAAGTTGGAACCATCCTGGGAAGGACCCTACCTCATCTTGCTCACCACTGAGACTGCTGTTCGGACTGCAGAATGAGGTTGGACCCATCACACATGGGTTAAGGGCGGACCACCAGCTTCTCCAAGAGGAAACACCTCAACTTGGACGGCCATACCAGGACATAGCCCCTTGAAAGTAACACTAAAGAAACTGTAAGCTGTCTATTTGCTTTAGGGCCCTGGCAAATTACAGGGACTTATAATGTGGGCTAGGGAAATGTGTACAATCTAGATCATGCTTACCCAGTTAAGTTATTGATTATAGACAACTTGAATGACTGATATTTCAGCCTGTAGGCCAAAATATTGGCTAAGACTAGATTTAAGAGTAGATGTCACAGGACAAGATACCCTAGGCCAATGTCTCCACCATGTGAATAGAAGTAGGATATAAGGGAACGAATGCCTGGTTGGAATGGATTAAATAAAAGAGACTGTTATACTTGTATTGTTAGGAATGCTAGAGGCTCAAGTGGTCCCATTTTCATTCAGATAGACCTCAGACAGTAACGGGATGGAATATGTACTTGCCCTGTATCAGGAGAAAAATCGCCTGGGGAAACAATTCACGTAAGACTTTCTCCCTGTTCCCATCCAATAGAGGTAAAGAGCTAGCACCCTCCCTTCCCCCCCTAGCCCCCTCCCTCCCAAAAAAATGATCCGGCCTTAGTCTTCCACCATAAACTACACCTCCTGCCTGTCAAGGTGGGAGAACAGTACATGGAGTTTATGGGGAATTTATCCAGATGTGTAAATGGCCGAGTATCCTCAGAAGCCAATCTTTCTGCACTGTCGCTACCCTGTGCTGATGTCTGGTGGTATTTCAGGGGACCATTATTTGTGACCTTGCCCAGCACCTGGAGTGGAATTTGTGCTGCTACAATTGGCTGTCCTGTTCACTTTGGCATATTGTAAATCTTTTTCAAAGGGCAGACTAGGAAGAAGAGAGAAAGAGAGAGTCCGGGGGGCTCCTATGATCCTCATATTTACATAGATTCCATTAGGGTGCCAAGAGGGGTGCCAAATGAGTGTAAGGCTAGAAGTCATATTGTGGCAGGGTTTGAATCAGTCCTGTTCTAGTGGCTCACTGTAAATAAGAATGTGGGTTGGATTAATTACATTTACTATAACTAACAAAAGATTGTTAACTATACTCGAGATGCAGTTAAAGATATAGCTGAACAACTAGGTGCCACCAGCAGGATGACCTTGGATATGATTCTGGCAGAAAGGGGAGTTTGTCTAATGTTGGGGGCCAGTGTTGTACATTAATCTCTGACAACACAGCTCCAGACAGAACCATTACTAAGGCCCTACAGGGTTGAACAACTTGAGCTGTAAGTTAGCGTAGAAATCTAGAATTGAGGATTCTTTCTCTGATTTAACTAGAGCAATGGTTCAGAAAATGGGAATGAAGGTGTCCATATTCACCCCTTTGATAATCAGGTTAGGAGACATTGTAATGGGATGTTATAGCATCCCATGCATGAGAGGTCTTATCCAAAGGTTAATTGAAATCACATTGATCAAACAATCTCATTCTCCTACACACTGCAAAGCATGAAAGTCAGTGAATGTTAGCCAAGTTTGAAGGAAAGAGTTAAATAAGAAAAGGGGGAATTGTGAAAATAAACAAGTAAATCTTTTTTGTCAAAGAAAGGAGTTTGGTAGATCCCCTGGGGGGCTGCCATTTTGAAACAGCAAAGGTCAACTCCTCCCCTTTTCCTTTAAATTGGCCAATCGTGCGAGAATGTGAGCGTGGCTCTGGCCAATTAAGAGTGAGGGACAGATGATGTTCCTCAGGCATAAAACTCTGAGCAGACTGCCTGCTCAGTGTACGTGCTGCCAGACTGTTGGTACATACCCTTCTGCAGAAGTGAAGATATTTTCCTTGCACATACACAAAAAATCTGTATATTGTATTACACCAGGTGCCACTTATATAGAGACATGAAATTCCATTATTTTGTTTATTATATATATCAACAACCAGTATTAGAATACTGTGGTCTGTTATCATATTTATTACCTACTTACCCTATTTCCCCCACCAATACAACCCACACATACACACAACTCTTTTAGGTAGAATCTTTTAAAGCATCTTCCACACAAACCATTTCACTTGCAATACTTTAGTGTACGAATATTCTAATAGATAAGGCCTTTTATAAAAAATAAAAACAATTGACTTTTACAATTGGTTTGGTTGTACTTTTTCTAACTTATGTCTCCTAAGTGTTTAAAAAAATTCTCATGAGCTTATAATTACTTATATACTAAATATCTCATTTTACCTTCCTCGAGAGAAAATAATGGCAACCATATAATATAGATTTCACTGTCAAAAAACAATCCTTTGTTCTAATAACTTTTTTATAAAGTTTTTCAAATTGATTCCTTTTTACTTAAATATTTATAAATCTTAAATCAAGTCTTATTCCATTATCTGTTAAGAAAATACAGGGTGGGGCAAAAGTTAGTTTACAGTTCTCATATGGAAAATAATAGAATAATTCATTAATGATACAATAATAAATTCTGTGTTTTGTGTACTCACAACTATAAACTACTTTTGTCCAACCTATGTATTATATTGGAAAGGGGGCAAAATAATGTGCTGACGTCTACAGAAATGACTGGCAAGAGTTTTCTCCACATCGTTTTTCCATTTTATCTGAAAGGAAATATATCGAAGTTATGCTTATGCATGAGTAAGAAAGGCCAGATATGTTTAACAAGCCATCAGCTCCAAAGGAAACAGTGTTTAGAATGAATTTAGGCCATATCTTCCCCTCGGGTTAGTGAGGGAAGGGTTACAGTCTCCTGAAATCCTTACTGCAGATCTGGGCGCACAGCCCTGAAGAGGCTGTATGCTTCCTGCTGTGGGCAGAAAGGGTTAGAGCTTAACAAAGGAAAGAAGAGGAAGGGGAGAGAATGGTTTCTCTGTGCTTTATTTCAGAAACCAAAAATAATGTTATTAAAGCTTCAGAGGCTTAAAAAATATAATACTGAGGTAGTTAACATGCATGAGTCTGATACATATAATAGCTAGTGCAATTCTTGTCAACAATCCATCCTTTCCCTTTGAAACCTAAAATGGTTATACATTTTATACATTGATACAGTAAATGCAGATTCATTCTAAGATTTAAATATTTTATGATAGTTTGATTTAATACAAACAAAAGACTAGGGAGTCTGAGATTTACTTTATGTGTTTTATTTATGAAGTATATCTATAGTATTTTGTAACCTGTAAATCTTGCAGTGCTGTATTTTTTTTTTTTTTAACTTTTATTAAGTGCAGGTTAGGACAAGTGCTTCCACCTATGTTTTTTTATTTGATCTTCAGATAATCTTGTTGATTAGGCAATGTTCCTCTTGTTACTGAAACAGGTCAGGCTACTTGGTAGGTGTCAACCAAAAGAACACTCCACGTTGACTGTGTTAGTCGGAACTTTATTGCAAGCCTGGGAGCAAGGAGTGCACTAGGGATTATTCCCTGAGCGGAACCTGCCCAGAACAAAAGACCACATGGTATAAAGGGATAGTTACTTACATCTTCACATTCTAAGGTATGGTTTGGGTGAACATGAGCAGAAGTGGGAATGGCTATACATATATTGCCTATGTAGAAGATGGTGTGTAAGTTCCACCTTGGGCAGAGATTTTAGTATTATAATGAGGATATAATTTAAAAAGTTCATGCTATCAAAGGGTCCTCTGGTCTGGAGTGGTTTTCTAATCTTAACCTTCTAGCCCTGAAAGCAAGCTTTTGTTAGCAATCAAGCAATGACCAAGTTTAGCAAATGCTTAGGTC